CACAAATCAGGTGCAGACAATTTTTAAATCAACAGCAAAATAACTGTAGATGGCATATGCACACAGCTGTACAGGTAGGTTGTGCATTCCAACAGCAACTACAATCTCCATGGATGGCCCTTCATACTTAGATTTCAATAAAGCTTTTCCAAAAGAGCAAACATGAAAGTTGTAGCAAGCCAGCTCTGGGATCCAGAGCCCAGCTCTAACGTTCTGGCAGCAGCTGCACTGGTGTAACTATTTCTGCAAACTGTAACTATTTCTGTTCATGAGTTTCAGCTGGTCACTGATGTGACTCCAGGTAATGACAGAGGCACACCTTGCCAGGATGGGGTTTACTGTTAGAAAAGGTTGTCAAACTTTGAAGTTGAGCATTTAAAAACACTTTAGCCACTCCTGTGTGTTAACAGCCTCTGCATCTTGGAGTTTGCATTTTAAGTTATGATGCCATTGAAGCTGTTAGCATATGTTTTTCTTAACTAAAAAAAAAGTTTTAAAATATTACAAGCTCACGCTCCATCCTAAGGGCAAAGGTTTTCCATCTAACATCTTAATGTCAATTAGATATGACTAAACCCAAATGCTATTACATGGAATGAAATTAAGGCTCCACTTCAACATGCTGGGGGAGAAAACTGATGTCCTTTGCAGCATGTGCTTAGAGAGGCAATGGAAGAACTGTTTCCATAAAAACAAACAGAAATCATGTTCAAGCTTTGCTGCATGGGATCCACATGGCAAAGCAGGATCTAAAGTTCATTTACCATGAACTCCAGAATTTTTATGTGTGCAATTGCTATCTCCACCTCATTTACTAAGCCTTTTAATTTTCTTTTTCCTTGTCTCCCTGTGCCAGAAAGGAACCAACACCTATGCAAACTTCCTCTAGACTCACACCAAGAATAATCCTTTACAACTCTATAAAAGCTCAGTTGTCCAGGAAGTGCAGCAATACCCAAGAACTCCATTTTATTTTTAAGTTAATAGACAGTCATAAAATTTTGTTTATATTCATATTTAAAGGCTTGTCTGTTTTGATTCCCTCTTTTCAGTTCAAGATCCAGGTACATTTGGTCCAGTGTAATTTCTCTGCAACGTGAAAATACTTCCCTAAATTCCTTCTGTTCTTGATTTTCAATATAAAATCAACTTTTGCTTGTCCTAACAACATTCTTTCTCTCCCTCTATATATTTACATACACCCCATACATATATGGATTTTACAGAACTATTTATAACATTTGAATTCAAATTTATTGAAATCCAATTGAATAATTACCAGGTTGGGTAAGATAAGGAAGTGAAATTTATTTTTTTTAATTGAAATAGATGCTTTTCTTCAATGCACCTGTTCAAAGGCCAATTTTAAAATTAGTTAAGCCAAAAGGGCACCAGCCTTTCCAAATTACAAAAGTTTTGAACATCCAAACTTGATACCAGAAAGCCAGAAACCACATCCAACACAACACCCTTATAGTTCTTTAACTGAAACACACCCTAAACACACCCTAAACAAAATGCAAAGTGCTTTGCTTGTAAGTCAACAACAGAAGTGTTAATGCTAGAAGTTGTGTGGTTTGGGTTTTTCTTCTTATGAGAGAGTCAAGGCATCCTTCCAACACAAACATCTGAGCCTTCTACTCATTTTCAAGGCACCATCCTAAATACACAGGTGTTTTAAGGAGACAAAGTGTTTCATGTGAACACATCTGAACAGACACACAAACACCTTGCTACTGCCACATTCTTATCAGAAACAGTTGAATGAAACCTTCCTACAAAAACCAGTCCAAAGCACGACAAAAATATTCCCAAGTATTTTAAGCCATAAAACCTGTTGTCATATCATAAGCCTTACTCAGCAGGCAGTAGCACTTCCAGCTCCAAGCACAGTTACAGGTCTTACAGAAGAAGTAACTCTTGGCAGAGATTCTTTAACACCCAATTTTTCACTCACACCTCTTATGAAACTTTGCTTTCCACAGCAGGGGTATGATGGCAGCAGTGGTTTCACAGTGTCAGCTGGCAATGCCCAGCACTCTCTCCTGAACAGCTTTGCCAGGTTTATCTGCTTGGGCACAGTTGCAGGCTGTTCAAACCCAAACCATCCCTTCCTTGCACAGCTGCTAAACACCAAGATGTCACATGCCAAGAGTATACAACACATACCTTCTTTCCTAGATTTTCTAACAATATTCCAACTAAGTGCAATGTTTAGTTTACAGAAAAATCCTTTTTGCTCGAAACTTCACGCACAAGGCAATCAAGTGATTTTCCATGGTCCTGGCTCTGAATGTATTAGAAGTAGGGCTCACACTGCAAACTATAAAGTTCAGGCAATAGACTGAAAAAAATTAAAGGGAGATCAGGAAAAGATTCATAGATGTGACAAAAAGCAAAACTAATTTCACTGCAGGTGTTCATATAAAGACACTAATTAATATAGCAGTATTTCTGTTTTTCTCATTGCAGACAAAATAATTGCCTTCCTTTTTGCTGAAAAGAACTTAAAAGCTATTTCTGAATGAAGAATTAACAGTTTTGGTTCAATCTTGAGCTTATAAAGGCTGATGAAATAGCATTTTTCACCTGGTTATTCCTCAAATCTACTTAGATAATGCAAGTGAATAAAATTATAACAGTGGATTGCTTCCTCTTAAAAAGGCTTCACATCTCTTTTGATTTGAAGCCAAGCAGAAGCTGAATAACTGTTATTTATATTTGAACAGTTTCACTGTCACCCCTTACTTCCTTCCTCTCCCAAAAACAACTCTCCATCATCCATAACTGAATCAAACAGGGCTTTCCAACCTCCAGGTACTAAAAATTCCCATTGTTTTTTATAATAGGCATTTCACTTTGAGATAATTTGGGGTATTTTGAAAGCCACTGTTGCAATAACTCTTGAATTAATAAGAATAATATTCTTGTCTTCCTCAAAATGTAAGGAAGTACTTCCTACAAAGTAAGATAAGCTTCCTACTCTCTTAACTGATATAGCTGCTACTATGAATAAAAAAAATACTCTTTTCAAAGGTTTTTTTGCAAGAAAACGGAAGTGATTTTCCTGTTATTGTCTTTAATTTTGATGCCCTTTTAGTCGAGGCAGTTTGAGAATGAAAGAAAAAAATACTTAAGTACAAATAGTACTTGCCTTTACAACTAAAAACTTGCTACATAATCACCATTTAGCAAATGGAAGAAATCAGCCGTCACCAGAAAAAACATTTCTGCATAGGTTCATTAATTTTACTGCATGCAGTCAACAAACACTTTCCCCAAGCCCTTGCTGGCTAGAGATAATTGACGATCATTGAGATTATTTGACTGCACTAATTACATTAAATGACCTCCTTAACATCCTCCGCTTCGCGCTATACAATGCGAACAGAAACATCAGTTCGTGCCTCCTCTTCAAAAGAAAACATTCTCCAAGCCGCCGACACTATGAAGCGGATTGATTTTTTTTTTTTTTTGCGATTATATAACTTGTTTCTTTCCCAGCGCTGCTGCAGCATGTTTTACTGTCAATTGACAGAAACGAAAGCCTTGCGCTGGGAGCGAAAGCAGGACTTTATTCCTTGCAGGGTTTCTTTCGCCGGTGCGAAAGGATCCCCCGGTCGCAGCTGGTTTTGGAGCCCGTCAGGCTCTGTGCCCAACCGGGGCGGCAGGCAGGGAGCGGGGCAGGGAAACACGCCGAGTTCCGCGGGCAGCCGGGCTGTGCCGCTCTCCCCTGCCCCACACACCGAGCTCCGTGGGCAGCCAGGCTGTGCCGCTCTCCCCGGCCGGGAGCCGAGCTCCGTGGGCAGCCAGGCTGCGCCGCTTCTCCCCGGCCGGGAGCCGAGCTCCGTGGGCAGCCGGGCTGTGCCGCTTCTCCCCGGCGGGGAGCCGAGCTCCGCGGGCAGCCGGGCTGTGCCGCTCTCCCCGGCCCCACACGCCGAGCTCCGTGGGCAGCCGGGCTGTGCCGCTTTCCCCGGTCGGGAGCCGGGCTCGCCTGCCCCACGCACCTCGCCCGCCCATCCACGAACTTTTCCAAGCGGGTGCCCGCGCCCGCTCTTCCCCGCTCCCGCAGCGGCTCAGCCCGGTCCCCCCGCACTCACCGGCCCCACCGCTCCCGCAGCGGCTCAGCCCGCTCCCCCCACATTCACCGGCGGGGCCCCGCTACCGTGTGTGTCTGGAGAGCCACTGCCGAGCTCGGAGCAGGTGTTCCGCTCCTCCAGCCGCCAGCCGAGCTCTGACGGCGGCAGCCCGGGCAGTGCCTGCCCTCCGGACGGGCACGGGGCGGGAGCCGCCGCTCGGCTTGCCCCCTGCTCACAGGAAGGCGCGGGGGCAGAGACGCCCCCGGCCCCAGAGCGCTGCTGCCGCTGGAGCGCTGCTCACCTCCAAGCCTGCTGCTGCCGCCCCTGAAGAGTCTCGTCCCCCTTCTCCTCCTCCTCCATGGTGCCGCTCCACCCCTTCCACGGCGGCGGCTCTGTAGGTCTCCGGTAGGAGCTGTTAAACGGCTGCGGCGTTCCACCTGACCAGCCCGCCGCTGAGGGCAGCGCCACGACCTGCACGGAATAGCTCCACAGCGCCCGGCGCCCCGCCATGACGAGCCGGGGCTCCGTGACGCCCGGCCCCTCACCGTGCCGGGCAAAGGGCACCACACAGCCCGGCCCATCACCGTGGCGAGCAGAGGGCACCACACGGCCCAGCGTCTCACCGTGGCGGGCAGAGGGCACCACACGGCCCGGCCCCTCACCGTGGCGGGCAGAGGGCACCACACGGCCCGGTGTCTCACCGTGGCGGGCAGAGGGCACTACACGGCCCGGCCCCTCACCGTAGCGGGCAGAGGGCACCACACGGCCCGGTGTCTCACCGTGGCGGCCAGAGGGCAGCAGACGGCCCGGTCCCGCACCGGGGAGCGGCGCCGTTAGCAAGATGGCGGCTGGGGGCCGTGTGTGAGGGACCGGGGGAGTCCCGGAGCCATGGCGGGACAGTGTCAGAGCTGCCGGCACGTTCTGCCCCTGGAGGCCGGGCTGCTCCTTGGCCCCGGCACAAGGGAAGCACTCAGCTGTGCTCCTGGCCGGCTCCCATGGGCGGTAAGCGCTGCCTGCAGTCCCGCTTGGGAGCACGAACATGCTCCCACCAGCAGGTGCTGCGGTGAAAAGTTTCCTGGGCTCGGTTGTCTCGGCAGGCCGGGGCAGTGCCGCCATCCCCGGGGAGCCGGTACTCACGGAGGATGCGTTGTCCGGGCAGGACAGCCCATCCTGCAGGCACCTGAATGCACCTGTATCCCTTCGGCCCTGAGAAGGTAAAACTCGTGTCCAAGTCAATCCACGTACTGGGTTACAATCATCCCCTCACACCCTGCTCACGTCTGACAGAAGTTTGCAGACTATGGGCTGGGAATTGAGGCATTTTGAGGCACCCAACCCAGAGGATTTGGGTTCTCAGAAATTAATGCATATCTTTAAAATATTTCCTTAAGGACAGTGGATGGCAAAGAGCAAAGCTATGCAGGTGTGATGTGAAAAACACCCCATATTATCTAGCAGTGGTATGACATCTAAGAATATCTGGAGCTCTGATAACATGTTTATCTTGAAGCTTGGGACTGGATGTATGGTTCATTGGTAAAGAAATCTACCTGTGTTCAAGGCCAAAGTTCTCAGTGCATGTCTTGGGAAACTAGAAATATGGGCCTTACTCTTCTGTTATCTGTCATTCTCTTAGTTTCCTTAAGGTAAAGGAATCATTAAACTATCAAACTGCCTTGTTCTGTGTGAGTTATCGGTTTTCTATGTTCTTTACATAGTGATACAGCTATATATTGGTTGCTTATGGTCAGGAACATTTGCTGACCTTTGCCAGATGGAAATTCCTAATTTATTTCTTACTTGTGCTCCTTCTTTCCTGATATTTCCTGATCATTTCATCTATCACTATATCTAATGCTAAGCTGGCCTTGTAGCAATGACTTCTACTCATAATTATTGAACACAAATCTATATTGATTGAAGTTATTTCTACTGTTACTTTGTGGAGACTAAGATCTCCTGAATGATTTTGATAATAAAGCTGTTCTGATCAATGACCATTAACAGTAATAATTACTGCCTATGCATAGAAATCTGTGTAAGCCACTAGGTAAGTCCCCCCAGGCTGGTGGTAGCTGATTGCCAACAGTAGCAGATTTGGGATGCTCATCCTACACTTCAGCTGAGTATCTCCTAGCAGGCAGCCCTGGCTCCACATGTGGTGTGGAAGTAGTTTGTGTATCACCAGTGATACAAAAACCTCAGCTTGGGAGGCTCTGCTTTAGTAAATGCATTTTTTCTGTACTACAAATACAGATGTCAAGGAGTAAAGACACCTGGTATCTGTGCAGCATGCAATTTTCAGCTTAAAAGGAAACATGCCCTGTGAAGAATGATACAATTTTGTTGTTCAAGTAATATCTGACACTGCTAGGAGTATATCAGTGTATTACTTACTGTGCCACACCAGCATGCACAACATGAGAAAATTCCACTCCAGAGATGCTGCTCAACAGAACCAGGGTTTAAACTACTTTCCTGCTTCAGTATTCCCTGGAGCCAGTTGAGATCTCAGTCTAGTATGGCTTCTTTGGTGGGTTTTGATTTTTCAATGTCTTATACCCACAAACACATCTAGGCTGAGGAAAAGTCCCAAGGGAGTATCTGGGCTGCAGTAGTTGTGTAAAGCCAGAACAGGGATCTCTCTGACTCCTAATACTCCCCAGACATGCTAATGTGCCTAGAGGAGTGTTGTTAGGATCCTGCAGGGGTTGGAAGTCAGAAGTTACTAACAGATGGAAAGGTTCCAGCCATCTGTGCATGAGGTAAGAGTTTTTGCTTGGCATCTCGTCTTAAGAAATGGAGATTTAATAATTTTATTTCCATCAGTGGCATGTACTCCTGACTACTCATGCACTTTTACTACTCAGACTGACCCTATATATTGTTGTCTGTTTATGAAAGTAGAAAAGTTATGAGAGCTTCTTTGTACTGCAGAGAGGCACAAATACCAAGGGATAGGAGAGTGGGGTTATTTAGGGGTCAGTGCATTTCTTTTTTCCTCACAATGAAATTTAACAGCTTAAACAGAATGATTTTTATTGAAATTTTTGGGATATACCATTTCATTAACTCCTTGGAAGGGTAAGTTCCTTAAACTAGCTTAATTTGCTAAATGCAACAACCTGTATCTTAATTAGAATCACACAGTTAGTACTTCATGAATTTTATCTGCAGGGGAGTCTTTCCCTTAGAGATAGAGCATTAATCATGGCCAGGACAGCTTGACTAACTTGATTACAAAATTGCTCCTGATGAAAGGTTTAACCTTCTTCACAACTGAAGCGTATCAGTATTTTGTTTTGATCTCTCAAGTGTAGTGTTAGTGTCTTTTTCACAAAGTCTAATTTAGTTGGTTGACATGAGATGTGTCAGAGCAAGGTACTCATTGTCTTGGCCAGTAACTGAAGAACAATCTAAAGCAAGAAAAAAATAGAAATTCTTACAGTTAGTTCAGTTATAAAGCTATAACATTTTATCTGAACTTAATTGAAAATCTTCCTTGATGACAGAGTAAAAATGTTGTGCCATCTCTCACTCCATCCTAGAATATCAAGTCATAGTTCAAAATCCCTTTTGGCTGAGATTTGCTATATATTGGGCAATGTTTACTGTTATAGTGCAGATGCAGTTTATTGCAGAAAAAACCCCACATTTGCTGGAACAGTTTGTGCTGGATATTGAGTGAAATCAACTGTCTTAGAAAAAAAAATTCACCACTCTAATATTGGCTATACAGGAATTTTTACTAGCATAGAAATTTAGCACCAAAAGAAATTCTACTGAGCTAGTAAAAGTCTCTCTGGCAAAACTGGCCCATATTGGGACATAACCAGAAAGCCTAACCTTCCCTTCTAATTACCATTTGCACCCTTATGGTAACCACCCTTATGGTATCCACCCTCTTCAGGAGGGAACTTAAGGGGGAAAATTTACTTGGCACCTGTTGCAGACAGAGGCAAGCAGAATTTCAAATCATGTTGGATGTTATGGTGCCCAATGAAAGAGTGTTACACAACCAGCTTATATATATATATGTATATACACCCACATAGGTTCAAAATGCTTCACAGTACTGATTAATCAAAACATTAAATTGAACTATGTACAAAATTTATATATAATAAATATATAATAATGAAATTACTGTAAATGTTATGTTTACAATTACGAATCTAAATCTCTTACACAATAAAGAATTTGACAAATTTGGGGACTGTAGAGAAGGAACTTCTGAGTTACAGGTAATGCTCAAAAGCATATTTTGTTTTGTTTTATGTGAAATATAATGATGACATTGTAACAGACATGAATAATTTCAAATAAGTTAGGGTTTATATTACAATGAAAAATACATTGGGAAAAAGGAAAACAAGAAAAAGTAATTACTTTTTAAGTCATATAAAGTTACTGTAGGGAAATAATAATAAATAAGGAAATTGTATAGCAATGAGGTAAGTCAGAGCTTCCTTGTGATTGCTTGTACATATTAACAATGATGACTATCCTTTCCTTGCCTCCATAAAACATTTTTTAGCTCTATCGTACAAGCGTCATACAAATACAGGACTAGAAGGGGATTCAATAAATCACATTATCCAAACCACTACATTCAGTGAGGGTCTTTCATAATTGGAGTATTATTGTGACTGTCAGCACCCCTTGCAGGCATGCTCTGTGCTACATGGAGCTGCTTTCAGCTGCCAAGCTGCTGCTCTGGCACTAATGAAACTGCTGGGTTCCCAGGCTGAGGTCAGTACCCTGCTACTGCCCTCCTGAAATGTCTCTGAAACCTCTTCTTCATCCACAGATCCCAGGAGGGAGAGAGAAAGGAAATCCACATTGGTTTTAACAGCTGCCCCTGAATAGAGGAGGGAGTTATAAATAAATGGAAATAAAGAATGGGGGCATGTGGCTGAAGCCATGACAGTCACTTTTTGGTGTGGCAACAGATAAGCAGTGCTCTGAGTGACAAAATGTCAGTCTGAATATGTAGACACTGTGATGATGTCAAAAGAGTCTCATTTGAATTGGGATTCAGGAGGATCCTCTATTTAAATCCTGTCTGAACTACTGACAGGCTGCATGACCTTTTACAATATACAGAGCTCCATGGGTCAAATTGCTCTTTGCTGCAACTAAATTGACTACAATGGAATTGTTCTGTGACTGAACTTGATTTCTCAGACATCAGTCAACACAGCTGGTTCACTGAATAAATGAAAGAAAGCAATCATAGATGTCACTGGAAAACAGATGCATCTGAACTGAGTCTCTCACTTTTGGCAAAACTGGACCAGAAATGCAAAACTTAAAATGCAAAAGTAATTGCTGATAGTGAGTTCTTGATAATGAAACTCTCTGAAGGTAACAAAGGTGAGAAAGTGCCATTGTCTTTTCTAAAAGGAATGTAAATATCACATATGTTATTTAAAACTTGGAAAAGGATGGATGCTTCTCTAAGTATTCTGGTATAGATTGCTTCTTAAAAAAAATTAATAATGACAAATGACTCAGGTATTTATGCTGAGTCATTTACATTGCAATGCTACACACTGATAAGCTTCTTCCATAGAAAAATGCTTTTAGAGTCAGATAACAAAATAATTGTGTTATTTGATAAAAGGTAATTGTTTTAAGAGTGTCAGGGGCAGAATGGGAACTTCAGACAAGGTTTACTGGGGAGACCCCCCTGCCCTGTTGAGCCACAAAGTGCAGAAAGGACCCTCTTGCTTTCTAAAATCCTTCTCAAACAGGAGTCTGGGTGGAGCTGGATCCAGTCCCAGTCCCAGACTTCCAATGGTTTATCTCTAAAGTATTATATGGTGTAATTGAGCCTTTTTACAACTTTGTCCCACAAGATTAAAGATGGCAAACCAAATATATTTATATTAATAAAGTAGATAAGAATTTAAATTTATTATGATGTTGAAAAGACTAAAAGACCTTAACCTGAATTATTTACTGCCCAGTATAGGTAGCTACTACTACATAGTATAGTACACTATGTATTGAAGCAATATTGAAACAATGATATTAAAGCTAGCAAATAATTATGGAAATTGATGTTACTCACACAATGCCTGTGGGCAAATGTCTTGCTCAGCCTCAAGGATTAACCTTGAGGGGTGTCCCCACCCAAGGGAGGAGTCTCCCCACACAGTCAGAAGGGGTTTGTTGGAAAACCCTGCCATTCAAAAGAGGGACTGAGCTT